ATCAAAGGGTATGAACCCTTTCAATTCTCAACTTAAGAATAAATGATACCCCACAATATAAAACCCCAATGGAAACTATCTTCTTTATGAATTTCTCCATTTCAGCCTAGCACCCATAATCAAAATCAACTTTCAGAAGAAAAATAATAATTAATTAATTAATTCAATAAAGTGTCTGGTCAATTCCAACCTTGAAAGGCTCATTATCAGTTCTGAAACTGATACCCGGTACATACTTCAGCCAAACAGGAAACCCCCTAAACACAGAAAAAACCATGTAAGTTAATCCCAATTCCTCACGAAAAAAACATTGCAATTTAAGCAAAATCTATTCAGAAAAATACCCAAAATTCCATTCAGCGCAAATGTAAGGGCCTAATCTAAGATGAACATAGAGCCCAGCCTCCTCCACGAGCTTAACAAACCGAACAAGATCATATCTTTCCTCAAAGTAATACTACATATATGTATACCAAACAAAACTCAGTGTAAAATGATCGAAACTTTAATTACCAAGAAAACCCACATGAAATTTAGAAATCACCTGGCCAGGGGAAGGCTCGTGCCCATTCCAGAACACATAGGTCTCTATAACATCCAAGCCCCCATCTTTAGCCTTTCGAATGAGATCAGGCCACATCTGCACGCAAGCCGGATGAAATAAACTGAAAATTAACATTAAAACTTGGTGGTAAATTCGGGAAAAATGAGAGAAACCCAGAAGCAGAATTGACCTCAGGAGTGCTCCTGGGGTAGTGAATGGAGCCAGAGATGAGGATTTTTCGCTGCCCATTGATTGTGATTGCTCTGTGATCATAAGAAACAGAGGTGGGCCTGTTGGGTTGAGGGAGGGGGTACCAGAGAGTTGAGAGGATTACTAGACAAGCAAGGAGGAGGACTGTGGGTGTTGAGCGATGAGGGGGAGTGGGTTCTGCCTTCGACGACATTGGTGGAGGTTAGAGAGAGAGAGAGAGAGTGTGTGGGGGGGATTCTGAGGAACTTAAAATATGAAAGCAGAGCGAGAGAGAGAGAGAGTGCGTGTGTGAGGAGCTGGAGGTCAGAATTGTAAGTGTACCTAAAAAAGGTGGAACCCAAATGGTGACCCAACCGACATTGGCGTCCACAGTAGATGTACGTGAAGAAAAAAATCTTGGTTGTTTTTGGTAATTAGGGGGAAGCATTAATTGGTAATGAGAGAGAGGGTGAGCATTAATTAAGTAATGTGGACTCTTTTTTGTAAAAAGAAACTAGAAGAAGGGATTTTTTTTTTTTAAATTAGATGCATTTTTGTCAGTTTTGTTAGTTTTGTGGTTTCAGAGAGGAAAAGTTTAGGAGAGTTTTGTGGAAAATGCTCTCAAAGAGTTTTTTTTTTTAATCACAAAATTTTTCCACCATTATTATGAAGTTATTACCTCCTATTAAAGGTGTGTATAATTTTCGGATGCAATGTATAAACTGGTATTCAATGAGAACTTGAGAAGTAAAAAAAAAACTCTTTTTTCCCCATAAATCACCATTTGTCAGAAGAACATGATTCATTGGATAGTCTTCCACACATTTAATTATTATTTTAAATATATTTTTAATCTGTCTCATTTATGCTTGAACCAAAGGTTGAAGATCTCATTGATGGAAAAATACCAGCTTGCACCGAGGTTCATGGTATTAAATTATATCATACTCCCCTTAAAAGGATGAGTTCAAGAAAATCTTTCGGTAGAAAAAAATACTATTGGAATTCAAATACTAATCCATTAAGTAAAAGTAAGTTGATAAATTGATGCATTCCTATTGGATATGCATAGTATGTAGATAAGGATATAGATTAAATTGAAATGTAAACCTGAATGAAATTATTAAATGTCAAATTTATAAATATATTCAAGATGAAGGGCGTATATGCAAAAACTAAACAAATTAACGAGACAAATAATGTTTGCCCCAAAGGTCGAACCCAAGAACAACACAGAATTACAAATGTTTGTAATGTGGATAGGATATTTGCAAAAATCACCAAATAAATTAAAGAGACAAAAGCTATTCTCAAAATTATAAAAAAGAAAAATTAAAATAAATGGCTGCGATCTGAGGACACAACGTGACGATCTTTCACCGACTAAAATTCAAGTAGTTCACGGTACTGCATAATTAGTTTTAAATTTTAATTATACTATTTTTATTTAAACAGAACTCGATTTACAATTGTTATTCTCTCACATGCAACATCACATACTAATTTATAGGCTAAAAATTTACAACAATTTCTATAGCACTTTCATCTCATTCTATAGGTATGTGCCTTTATTTTTTTTCTTATTAGATTACATTAGATTATTTTAAAATATTTAATTATATTGTATATTTAATCTTTTTTCATATCAAGAAATAACAATAATTTTCACAGCACTTTTATCTATTTTCTTCTTAATAGATTAGATTAGATTATTTTAAAACAATTAATTATATTGTATGTTTGATCTTTTTTTTAAATCAGAAATTACAAATAATTTTTATAGCACTTTTATATCCTTCAACAAGTATGTGCCTTTGTTATTTTCTTATTATTAGATTAGATTGGTTAAAAATTATGAATTATGAAATTACAACAATCTTCACATCACTTTCATCTATTTTTTTTCTTATTGGGTTAGATTAGATTATTTTAAAGCAATTAATTATACTAAATATTTGATCTTTTTTTTTAGAACACAAAGTTTAATTACACTATTATTATTTAAATAGACATTGTTTGTATAAAAGTCAAACAGAATATCACATGTATCTTATATCTCAATGCCAATTGTAATACTTACACATGATGTTGGTTAAAATAAATTTTATTTATGGGCTTAACTTATATGATCCTACTTTAACCGGATTAGCTAATTTAATTTTTTTTACACTCAAACTCTTCTACAAAACCAAAAGAGAATAGCAATGTTGTAGCTATATATATCCACTAGACCACAGATATCTTGAAAACTACACAAACAAAAATCATACTAATTACCTCCACATACCCACTGTTTTTAAAACTGTTGGGTATCAACTCAAACTCCAAGTTAGTATAGTGTTTTTAATTCTTTGTAGAACTTCATGAGAATTAGATAGTGTTAGAGATCTATCATGATTAGGAGTTTGAGTTCCATCATGATTAGGAGTTTGAATCTTATTCTAATTAGGAAGTTAGACTAGAGATATGGTTTTAGTTTCCCTATATATGTCCTTCTATTGTTAGAGGAAATACAAAGAAGAAGAAGTGTAGAGAGAAAGAGAGAGAGAGGGTTTGACAGTCTTTGTCCATACAAAAGATTGTAATTTGGAGGTGATAGTAGATTGATTTTGATTCTGTAGTTTTTTCCTATTGAGGGTTTTCCATGTTAAATCTTGTGTGATTTTATTTGCTGTGTTTGGTGGTTTTTCGGGGGTTTTTTCGAGATCTAAAAATTCCATATAAGTGTAGGCGTCAAAAAATGCTAATAGATATCCCAAACATAGAGAAGATCACTCAAAGGGATCTCATATTGAAAATCAAAGCAGGAATGAACTGTCTCGCCAGCCGAGACAGGCTTTGCCGTCTCACTTAGTGACGACAGTATTTGCCGCTCGCCAGCGAGACAGTGTTGAAATAGTCAAAACTACATTTGTAACTGCCCTACACGTGTCCATTAACTGCCAAGGGACGCGGGAAACATCATGGGCGAAAATCACGTGAATAACTGCCAAAATAACGAAGTTTGAAACGTGGGAAAGCAGTTAAAACGAAAACTGCATGCGGTTACTGTTTCCGAGACAGTATTTACTATCTCGTGGGTCGAGACAGCAAACACTGTCTCGCCCAGGGAGACAGTAAACACTGTCTCGCCGTACTAATGTCGTCATTTGTTGAGTTTTTTCAGTTGCAGACCCCTGAGGCTATAAATACCCCCCTAGGGTCACTTCTGACGAGGATCGAGCATATTTTCGAGCATTCCAGAGCAGAGAGAGCAGATTTGAGTTTTCATACAACGCCTTGAAATTAAGCTTTGACTTGATTTTAAGAAGAACGACTATCTTACTTCGATAAGATATCGTTTCAAGTTCTCACTTCGATAAACGAAGTTAGAATCCGTAAACCCTCTCTTCACGATCTGTGATTCGGCGGTCCACGAACCAAAGCGTTCCCGGCACAGGCAAAGTCCCATGAAAATAAAGATCGATAGACGATTTTTGTGTTTGTTTCTCAAAAGTTATAATTTTTGCTTTGTTGTGTAAAAGAGGGTTTGTTTCTCAAAAGTTATAATTTTTGCTTTGTTGTGTAAAAGAGGTCTTATAAAAAGACTATTTCTTTGAATTTATTGTAATCGCTTGAAGATATAATGAATTCCTCAACAGAACCGACTTTTGACTCAAACAAGCTGGTGACCACAGTGGGAGCCAGCGGCCTCGCTGCCTTGTCAACGAAGAGATCGAATACGAATTCGATCAGGCGAAATTTGAGGAGTACTTGTCATCCTCATCATCAAAACTTTCCTCACCCCGCAAATGTAGGAAAGTTTCATCTCCCAGAAAAAAGCTCAAGTCTGCAGTGTCAATGAAGACCGCAGGTGAAAGTTCTTGCCCGGATGTTGCTAAAGAATCTACCTGCAACATCTCTGCTCCGAACGACTCCACACCCATTCAGGAGTCGATGATAAATAGCTCGCCGGTGCTGACGAAGAGAGCTCGTCAGAGACAGCGCCAGCGCCATGCTCGACAATTGGCTAAAGCCATGCAACAAACCGACGGGGTCCATTACTATGCGGACCTAGAGTCGAGGAGGCAGAAAATGATTCAGTTGCCTCAACGGCAAGATAATCATATTTCTGCACAACTTACGACGAAGGAGTGAACTCTCGTCAAAAGGGCCCGTTCAACCCTTAAGGAACGGATACAAAGGCGTAAAGCGAAGGCCGCCCATGCTCGTGCTCTTCGTCAACAAGCCCAATGAACCAAGAAGGAGACGGTGTCTGAAAGGCCACCGAAGAATCGTAAAGTTTGGATGCCGAAGACGCCGCAAGCATCTGTTCCGGGCCCGTCTACTGCATCGGTAGTAAAACCCTGGGTTAGCCCAGATTTGTCTAAGTTTAAGATAACAATGGCGGATCGCCTCGGTCCTTCAGTTGACGACCGAGGCAAAGCCCCGGTTAAAGAAAATCCAAGTCCAGCAAATAAACCGTTAATGGTTTCATATGCAGGGGGTCGTAAACACCCTCCTGTCAGAACTGCACAAGTCCAAAACGAGAGAATACCAGTTCACTCTCGTTTAGGACCTCTGAAAACTCCACACCCGCAAGGGGGTGGATTTAAAAATTTAACTTTGGATCGCCCAGAGGCGACGACTAGTCGTCCCGTGCATGTTAACAAAGTTAAAAAACAATGGATAGGTTGCTCGAATCACAATAATGATGAGCTGTACTATCAGAAGAATGACTCAAGAAAGAGAAGCGTCCGAGAAGATGAGTCCCATTGCGCATGTGAGAGGCTCATTAAAGCGGTGCTGACAGAATGCGGATGCTCTAAAAATAATTCAAGAGTATCCGTATTTCAAAGATTATCCAATGAAGCGTCAAAACCCAAAATGAGACGTTTCAACAAGAAGAAACCTGTAATCCGACAAGATGAGTTCCCTGAGGTCACTATCAACATGACCAATAAAGGAAAGCAAAAGTCAGTCAATCTCGACCCTGATTTCTCTCCAGGAGGGAGAGTTGAGCGGGGTCTTTCTCAAAGGATGTTGCGGTTACAAAGAAGAGCCAACCTACGTCGGGATTACAAGAGAATACACGAGGGGCTCTCTTCAGATGAAGAATTATCAGACACTTGTTCTGCTGTAGCTTCAGACAGCACCGCGTCCAGCGTAGGGCGAGTCAGAGAATCATTCGCAATCACGCCGGATCAACTGGCTCACATACTGCAGGAAGCGTTGGCTAAACAACACGAAGAAATTAGAGCTGAGTTCAAAA